GCAGCAGCAGAAATATTCATGAATTTGCTCAAACGGTTCGCTTGAGGATAAATTTCTATTCCACCTCCCCCAAACATTCATGTAATTAAAGTATAAATGGATTGTAACTGAATTATAAACCTTATCAATGAGCTCTGAGCATTAACTTCTCCAGTGTGCCAGAAAGAGGAGTGACCAGATAAAGTGAACAAAGTGGGAGCTGTAAGAGTGCCTCTAATGGGCATTACAATGGTGGTTGTATATAAGAGCTCTCTGCTTGTGTCATTGGCTGAGGGAAAGCCAAGAGGCAGAATTGACACCAGTTTTCCTATGAGTCCTCACATTGCAAAACAGGGGCCTTGTTAAAAATTCACTAACATATACCAATGCAGAATGTTATCTATTCCCTTAAGTGTTCTTGATACATGCAATAAACTTCCTTTGTGAGTGACACTGGGGACTGTTCATATAATAAACCTTTAATTTAGTGCACAGTCACATACACAATGAATTTTTTTAAAAAACATTTATTTTAAAAACTTGGCTAGCATACATATATAAATTGGATCATACCAGAATAGCTCTCCGGTATACAGCTTATACAGTCTAGTGGGAAATGTATAAATACGTATACATTCAAAGAAAAAAGTATGGCACACCTGTCCTCATGGCAGTGAGAAGTGACAGTGGTGGCACAAATATTTGCATACATACAAGATCAATCAGATTTCCCCCAAACTGAAAGCCACCGTGTCCAAAAGCAAGTCTCATTCCCCCAATCAAGTATATCTTTTACGAAACTCACATTCCAAAGGGTCAAGTACAAAGGGCAAATTATATTGCTATTAAAGACTTCCTCCCAGGTGCTAAATTCATCTTCCCACTAACCCAAATCTTTGACCAGAAACTGGGTTAAAAAAATGGGACTTTGACATTTGTATCCACCAGCAGCTACGAGGCCTGTAGATCTGAAATTTGGACTGCTAGATCCCCAGCTATTCTTAAAAAATCTAACAACAGTCAGCTACATTTCCCACATTTCTTTGGACTCCCACCAGTCAAACAGGTTTTGCAGGCTTTTGAACTGACACAAAATCCTGCAAAACCTGTTTACCGATGGTGAAAATAAGATTAGTGAACATACAATAAAGAATACTCCCCTTTTCAAAATTATACTTTAAAGGGGAGTGGGGGGGGGAGCCCTAAAGCTCTGCTGGCTTACTCTAGCTTATAAATCTTGTAAAATAGACTCTAAGGTACATGTCAAGGTTCATTCAACGGTTTTCATTGCAATTATTCCAACTACCTTTTGTTTAAAAAGCAGGAGGGCTGCTCTTATGAAAGGGAGTGTGCATTAAAAATGTCAGAAGTGCATTTTAACACAAATCTGTCTGCAGGGTCCTCTATTTTTAGCATTTGGAAAGTGTTGCTAAAGAAAGCACCAGCAGATCTATCAATCTCAGCCAGGCAGGATTATATGGAACTTCTTGGCCACTGAATGTCAGACTTGTATTTGTGATACAAGAGTATGGCTGAATAAGAAGCTGACAGCATATACCAAGATCCAGGTCTATAGAGACTGTGTCCTGAGCACACTCCTGTACTGCTGTGAGTCCTGGACTCTTTGTGCACAGCAGGAGAAGCTGAACACATTCCATATACGTTGTCTCCGACACATTTTTTGGTATCACCTGGCAGGACAAAGTTCCCAAAAGAGTAGTCCTAGAATGAGCTGGAATTTTTAGCATGTATACATTACTGAAACAGCGATGTCTACGTTGGCTTGGGCATGTTGTGAGAATGGCTGATGGTCTGATTACAAAAGATCTCCTATATGGAGAATTAGTGCAGGGAAATCGCCCCAGAGGGAGACCACAGCTGCGATACAAGGATATCTGCAAGTGGGATCTGAAGGCCTTAGGAATAGACCTCAACAGATGGGAAACTTTGACATCTGAGCGTTCAGCCAGGAGGCAGGCGTTGCATCACGGCCTCTCCCAATTTGAAGAGACCCTTGTCCAGCAGGCCGAGGCAAAGAGGCAGTCCCGGTAGCAGCAAAATCAGGAAACTGGACAGGGGACAGATTGTATTTGTTCTCATTGTGGAAGGGATTGTCATTCCCAAATTGGCCTTCTCAGTCACACTAGATGGTGTTCCAAGAGCACATTACCATAGTCTCTCGAGACTGAAGGATGCCTAGCATTTGTGATATTAAAACCAAACTTCTTAGTAACGTTTTTTCACTTACTTTCTGAGAAAAGCCTTTTGCTCAAAGGCTTACTTGAAACAGAAAATCTGGAACCTCAAAGTCATTTATGAGCATGCAGACATTATACTGTGCAGATCTGAAGGACTTTTTCTGAGTGTGGGAAAATTATATTTTTGAACACATCCCATCATACCTCAACCAGTGTGCTGTCAGAAAACATTATTTTTTTCTCCGCTGGGATTTTTACAATCAACAAAAAAATTCCTGTGAGGTAGATCAGCATTGTTCCAGTATTTTTGTGTAATTCAGGCTGTCAATATTTTACTTATCACATTAGGATTCTGTCTTTCCTGCACCAGTCAGCATAGTGTATATGGTGGATATCCCATTTTGTTCTCTGAAGAGAGAGAGGAGGACAACCTTCCTCAGCTGTGTGCAAACCCTCCTGGGGGGGGAACCACATATGTGTAATGGCAATCATGTAGTGTTTTTAACTTCTTGGCTTACAATCAGACTACCTCGTCAAACAGAGAAAGCAGAGAAGCACAACAGATGGCTAGAGCATAGACAGGTTTGCTTGTATGACCCCCTATTTCTACTGAGTTAATCCAAGATGGCCGTGGGGTCCTCCAGCTGTGTTGGGCTGTTAGACACCCCCTGCAACCCAGCCTGCATGCCAATGGTAGTTACAAGTAATGAGATCTGTAAAGTAACACATCTGGAAGGCAGCAGTTCAGAGAGAGAAGAAGTGGATTGTACTGAGATTCAAGTTCTAACAAGCAGGGACCAATTCTCTGCTTAGAGATAAATAATACTGAGTTCACTATGATGAACTTTTGAGATATCTGTATATTAGATGGATACAAAAGCACTGCAGAAAAAAATTCAGGGGGATGTCTGGGAGATTATAACAGGAGGGTTATGGGTAGACATGCTCAGAATATTTCATAGTTTTCTTGAAGGCTTTCACCGGCGGGATCCAATGGTTGTAGGTTTTTCGGGCTGTTTGGCCATGTTCTGGAGGTTTTTCTTCCTAACGTTTCTCCAGTCTCTGTGGCCAGCATCTTCAGAGGACAGGAGTTAGAACTGTCTGTGTTCTGGTGTAGTGTGTGGGATAGTTGAGCATTTGTAGCTGTGGGATCAGCTTATTGTTCTTTTCAGGAGACTCGGTGATTATGTTGATCAAGGGTTTTTTTTGTTATGGGTATATTGTTGTGATAAAGGAGAGATGATCTGTCACTGTCATTGATGGGTGTTGTTAGCTAGTCTTTTGTATGCAGTGATCACCAATCCTTGTGGCTGGGGAGAGGTCATTGACCTTTTTGCAGGCTGCATTTTTCAGTTCTGGGAGCCCGGGTTTGTTGAGTTTTAGACTTTCTTCTTTTTTTGTTGAAGCTGTGCTGATGTTTGTGGATTTCAATGGCTTCCCTGTGTAGCCTAACATACTGATTGCTGGTGTTGTCCAGTACCTCTGTGTTTTGAAATAGGATTTCATGTCCAGCTTGTTTCAGGGCATGTTCAGCTACTGCCAATTTTTCTGGTTGTTTTAATCTGCAGTGTCTTTAATTCTGGCGTGCATGCTGCATTTTGTGGTCCCAATATATACCTGGCCACAACTGCAAGGTATCCAGTATACTCCTGCAGAGGGTGTCCCTTTTGTCCTTTGCTAACCATAACATTTGTTGTATTTTTGTGGTGGGCCTGAATACTGTTTGTAGGTTGTGTTTTTTCAAAAGCTTCCCCTTGCAGTCCATGGCCCCTTTGATGTAGGGCAGAAATATTTTATTTGTGGGTGGCTGTTTTTCTTCTTCAGTTTGGTGTTGTTTTCTTGGTTTGATGGCTCTTTTGATTTCATTTTTGGAATAGCCATTTGCCTGTAGGGCCCAATTCAGGTGGTTGAGTTCAGTGCTGAGAAATTGAGCTTCACAGTTCCGATTTGCAATCTACTAGTATTTTGATTATGCCTCTTTTTTGTCTGATCAAACACCCTGATCTCCTGATCCCACAGCTGATCCCACAGCTACAAATACTCAACTATCCCACACACTACACCAAACCACAGACAAGAGTTCTAACTCCTGTCCTCTGAAGATGCCAGCCACAGAGACTGGAGAAACGTTAGGAAGAAAAACCTCCAGAACTCAGCCAAACAGCCCAAAAAACCTACAACAACCATTTCATAGTTTGCCTGCTGTTAATCTATGTGTATCAGTGTATCTCACCACACTTCCAAAAGCCAAATTTCTGTGTTGGGCCTCTTAAGCATCCACACCTCTACAGTTCCATTCGGTAGTGCAAAAATATCACAGCATATTTTAGAAAATCACATTTCTAGCCCTTATGCAAATAGCCATGCCTTAAGTTTTAGGTGTTTTTGTGTGTGTCTTTTTTTAAAGGTAACTTTCCCATCTCTGGTGGAGACAGCCTTGAACCTAGCAAAATCATAGAAGCTTGAAGGCACCCCCAGTACCAATTAGACAAGAAGCAAGATGGCATCTCCTGCCTATTTTTTTCTGTTTAACACCAGCAGTTGTAGGGAGCGTTGAATCAGAGTTTAAGTGGCGGATTTGGATTAAAATTGCCAGAATCCCATCAGTCAACTGACCAATATAGCTAGGGGTATTCTGTGGGTTACAGGCCACTATCCTGTTAGCTGGTGTTTGCCAGCATAATTAAAGGGCCATAAATCTCAGTAGCTATAAATGAAACAGTTAGGATTTCTGTCAGATTGGTGATGAGACTTGAGCACGCAGCAAAGTTCCTTACCTTTCTCTATAAACAGGCAGAATTAATTATGCAGAAGGAGGCACACTTAAGATGTACACTTCTTTAATTTGATTATCTTAGGGCTCATCCAGACAGAGCATCTGTACTTTTCCACATTGCAGTTGGTTCCATTTAAGCATAAATCTTACCTGGATTTAGTTCTATGCTACCCCTTTTTCTTCTATTCCCCTTAGCAGCCTTGTGGTGCAGTGGTTAAACTGCAGTATTGCAGCCAAACTCTGCTCATAACCTGGGTTCAATCCCGTGTAATTGGCTTGAGGCTTACGAAGCCTTCCATTTTTCTGAAGTCAGTAAACCGAGTACCCAGCTTGCAATGTATTGCCTGTATAATTAAATTGTAAACAGTCAAGACAGTGCTTTAAGCACTACGGGGTGATATATAAGCAGCATGTTTTGCTTTCTCTCTTAAAGTAATCAGATTCTCTGTAAGAAATGGATCAAAACCTTTCCTAAAATCTTGAAGAACATTGACCAAGCTGTTTACAAGGGGGGGGGGGAGAAACTTCAGAATGACCTTGTCTGCTGGATCCCATGTCCTTGCTTTGTTTTGCTTTAGTAGATTCAATTGAAAAGCCCCAATGGCAGCAGATATCTGATGCTAATCCATGTCGGAAATCATCTGTGTTCAAAAACCTGCTGGATTTTTGTGGTTTCCTTAAATGGAATAACACTAAAATGAAAACTTCCAGCTGGAGAAGCTCTTGTTGCTTAAACTCTGCCACCAGTCCAATGTGACCATCACCACCCACAACTCCTAGAAGTGGTTTTTAAAAGCATGGATGTTTTTTTGTGGTTGTTTTTGCAATTCATCACAGTTGGGTCTGCTTTAAGCCTTGTGTGTCTGGACACTGGGAAATATACTGTTCTCATTAGTGAACAAAATACAACAAACGTTCCATTTGGATGAGCCCTTATTTGGGTTGCAGGACTGGGCTAGTCTCGGTACCAAGTTTGGTTAACATAAACCGCCCTGCTTTTAAAACTTCTGTACATTTGGATTGAAGCGCTGCCACGTAGCAGAACAGAAGCCTTATGGCTCCACTGCAAATCCATAGTAGTGTGGAATAAAATTATGATTCCAAAGAGGAGCCAAAAGAGGAGCAACATGGCATTGGTGAACCTGCACGAACATGATTCCTGACATAAGTGTGGACACTAGTGTTTGGGTCACATCTCCCAGTGATGCAAACCACCTGAGCTTGCCGTGTCGCTGAAATACAGCTGACCGATAGCTTGGTTTGTTCTTCAGGTTCAGTTAAATGCAGATTCCATCTTTCAGAACATCCACCAAAATATTAATGATTGCTAAAGATGGGGCAGATAACTACTAAGAAGGCAAAATCACATTTGTAGACAAGGGCTGTTTGTATCCCCTTGTATAATCTTGATCCCGTTTGCACAGCGGCTGAGCATGGTGGGACCAGCCTCTCGAGTGTCCTTCTCAGGGCTCTATTTCTTCCATCACTTCCATAATTATGGTTCGAGGACCCGTCAGGATGAGATTGCTCACTGTCCTGTAGTCTGCGTGGAGAACATTGAGTCCATTCACTGAAACCACAAACTGGCAGACCTAAGAGGAAGCAAAAAAGAGGAAAGGAGACTCAGTTCATAGTCCTTCGGGAAGGCACAACATTCTGCTCTAACGTTCGAGATCAAACTGAGCACAAAACATTTGCAAATTCTTGACTAGCCAGCCAGTTCCTCCACCATCATCCCAAATGGAGCAACCTTTTCTCATTTGTTCAGCAGCTCAAAGTTATTTCAAACATCTGTTTCACGGTGGTTGTTTTTCATGTGTGTGCTAAACCTGCCAGAATCCTTGCTAGGACAATTCCTGCAGACTTCTGAAGGCTGCCATTCAAAGAATATGTGAGTCCCATTCCTAGAAGTCACTAGCTTCCTTACTGCTGGTTAGGAACATCTGCCACCTAGTGTCTGAAGATGGTACAGGCTAGAAAAATTTATCCAAGGTACAAGCATTTATATTATTTAGAAGTTATCCATTAAAAAAAAAAAACAATAACCCTAAGATTCACTACCAACATGAATTTGAACAAACTCTGGGGGGCAGTGTAAGACAGGAGGGCGTGGCGTCCTCTGATCCATGGGGGTCACAAAGAGTCAGACAACAAGATTCACACATCCCTTCCCTTTAGTTCACATGCCAAATTTGGGGTGTTGACATTTCATGTACTTGGAGCAATGGTGGAGACCGGCGTTCTTTTTCTATTTTCACTACAAAGCAATTGTAGAGTTAACTATTAACATTTGGGTGCTGTCTTTTAATCATCAATATGTCAAACAAGGCTTAGTTAAATTTAACAAGCACAATATGCTAAGCTTGAGAAAGGGTTTATTATGGCAGTAAAAGAAAACAGAACAGGAGGAAGAATGTGGCAGCGCTTGCCAAGGATGAAGCAGGGATTGCAACACTCCGCTGGAACAACCCCAAAGGAGTTCTTGATTTTATTGAGCTTTGGGGGCAAGCCTTGACAAATGCTAGTGAGCCACTAAATAAACATTTATGTGAGTAAGAAGTAAATGAAGGCACAACATTTCCTTGTATACAGGATCGGAGTCTGACACAGTGACATTTCAAGTTCAACAGAATGTAGGATTCTCCTAGGCTACTGTTTGCAAAGACAAGGGAATTGAGTGCATTTCTAAAAGCTTGCTGCTAGCTGGACAGTACATACACTGAGACAGCAATTCCTACTGCCCTGACATCCTAGCATTCTTGGCCTGCAACCTGGGATGTTGTATTTCCTTTGTAAAATCATTGTTGTTACGTGCCATTGAGTTGCTTCCAACTTATGGAGACCTCCCTTCCGAAAAAAAAGGGTCCCATCATTAAGAGCCCTCCTCAGTTTTGCAAAGTAAAGGTTGTGGCTTTCTTTATTGAGTCAAATGCCAGAAGTAAGATGATACCTTTACTGAACCACTAAAACATCACAAAAATTGCAAGCATTCATGAATAAAATCTCACTTCTTCTGTTCGCTCAGCTCATCTTTAGTTTTTCTCTTTTTGCTGCCTTCAACTTTTCCCTGAATTATTGTCTTCTCCAGAGAGCCTTTTCTTCTCATGGTATATCCAAAGAATGATAGCCTCCGTTGAATCATTTTTTCCCTCTAGCCAGAGTTCAGGCTTGGTTTAATCTACCACACTATTCTAAAGTTAGGGGATGACATGTTTCGTTCTTCTCTTGGTCCCCATTTTTGGTCTTGCTACTTTTAGGAGGTGGCATAGGGTTTTTGATCTTCAATGCTGGACTACCTCCCTGCCTCTAATAAGAATCGCTGATGGGAGATAGTGAGAATCTCTCTACTCCTCTCATCCCTGGCCTAAAGGAAGTGAGGCATGAGCGAGGGTGCACCCAGAACCTCGGTAGGCCAGATGGGCCAGAAAAGATCCACAAAACACATGTTCCTTCCTCATCCTCCAGCCAGATCAGAACCCCTTCTACACGCAACAGAAGCTATAGGACAGGATTGTCAGGTTACAAAATGAAGATAAGATCTTAAAACTTTCAGTGAGTTGGCCTTATGTGTGAAATATCTTCCACAAACCCAAGGCCGATCCATCCCAAATAGAAAGGAATCTGCAAATGTTGACAAATTTACAAATCCAAGGCCGTTCCATCCCAAATACAGTGGTGCCTCGCTAGACGATGATAATCCGTTCCACTGAAATCGCTATTTAACAAAATCATTGTCTAGCGAAAAGCATTTCCCCATTGGAATGCATTGAAACCTGTTTAATGCGTTCCAAGGGGGAAGACTCGTCGTTGTCTAGCGAAGATCGGCCACAGGAAAGCCGCTTTGCGAACCGCCGATCAGCTGTTTAAATCGCTGTCTTGCAAAGCTTAGGTCCCGAAAACCCCTGTTTCGCGAGCGTGGAGGAAGCTGTCAAAATTGTCGTCTAGCGAAAATCGGTTTGCGAAGCAGGTACCAAACATTGTCCAGCAAAATTCCCCAATAGGAATCACTGTTTTGTGAAATTCTATAGCGATCGCAAAAAGTCAATGTCTAGCAAAAAACCTGTCATGTAGGGTAACTGTCTAGTGAGGCACCACTGTAGAAAGGAATCTGCAAATGTTGACAAATTATCCCAAAACAAGCTGAAATAAAATTGCCCACCATTTGCACCAACCAAATTCACTGTCGTTCTGTTGTTTTGTCAAACCAAGTCACTTCCAACTTGCAGTCATCTTAACAGAGTGTTCATGGTATCTGAGATGTTCAAGTAGGTTTACCATTGCCACCCCTCAAGCAGGGGTTTGAATCCAGGTCTCTGGCTCTCTAATTTACCAGGTATAAGCTATTCCCAGCACGGAAGCACCCATACTATACATGCCTTCCATAAGGGTATTAAAGAGGAGGAGCCTTTTACAAAAAATCAGGAGGCAATCTAAACTGAGCAGTAATGTAATTAAACACACAGGAATTCAAATCAATTTTGAAAGTTAAGCACTCAGAGCCCTGGACTTGGATGCATGTTTCCATTTCAATTTATCCCACGTCTGATCTCTTAAAAAAAAATTGCAAGTTCTGGCCATTCCAAGTATGAAGAAATCTGTGAATGTTGGCAAATTCTTATGAAAAACAAACCATGCAGGGAAAAGCAACAGAGAAAGGGACAACAGAGAAAGTAAAGAAAGGTGGAGGGAGGTTGAAGCATGGGACTTAGGAGCTCCTCCTTCTAAATTGCATTTTTCTTTCTGCTTTTTTAGAAGTTTGGCAAAGACTTGGGTTCTCACATCTGGATTTTCAGTTCAACCCCCCCCTTTTTTTTACCTTCAAACCAACTGCAAAGCCTAACTCTCATTTCTGTATAACACATTATTTCCTTTCTCTCTTTATGAAATGAAATTTATTAATCCAAATGTAACAAAACATGAAGAGTCTCTTTCCAGAATGGTTATCTAGTTCCACTTTTAGGTTGAACTGTTAACATGTATCTTCCAAACAACGTAAGCACTGACCCTAATCAGCAGGAAGGTTTGCTAAGGCATATCAAAACATACCCTTCAGAATTGTATTTATTTTATACATGTGCTTTCCCTGTAAGAAACAACTTCTCTCAATGGGAGAAGTCTTGTGCATCGTCAGATAATAAGTCCTCTCTGTATAGGGGTGATTCTAAAGCTTTTGGAGCTAAGGAATACCAGGGAGCTAGTGAGAATTAAAATCTAGTCATGTGTTGCTTGATTCTTAAAATATTGTCTTCCATGCCCACTAACTCCTTCCCATTTTAAAATGTCAGATCCCTGCATTCCATTAGAAGTACTGTACCGTTGTACTAAAAGCAAATTGTCTGCTTAAGATTTTGAAACCAAAGCTCCTCAGATGTCTTCAGAGGCCAAGCCATGTCTTCACAGTGTTTAGGATCTCTTGAGCTAAGAGCAATACCTCCTGTTCTTTGTAACAATTTCATTGTTGAATAGTGGGTAAACTGTAGCAGTTGGGATACTGGGTGGTCTTGTCCATGCTATGCTTCCAGAGCTCAGCTATCTGGTCAGGAAGCTTCACTAGCTCATCTCCACAGGATGCTACTTTACCAGCCAGCAGTTCAAGAGATGAGCTCTTGTCAAATATTCCTCCCTTGATGTACTCAAGTGCTGTCAGGGCTTTCTCAATGGCCATTCAGTCCTGCCATTTCCAGCATCAGCCACTGCTGCCTGATCTGCTTGCCATAGTCAGTGCTTGGTTTCCTCCAGGCATGGACACCTTGATTGATACCTGGACCACTCTTGATGACCAGAAATCATACTTGTTGTGTCTTCCTGCTCTTCCATCACCACTCCCTTGTCCCCACCTTTGCCTAGTGAATTCCTGCTGCCTCTGGTGATGCCACTGAGCTCACTTCCCCCATTCATTCTAAGACTCAGAAAAGTCCCAGTAGCTTCTGTTGCAGGAACCTTTATTTATTTATACCCCTCCTTTCACCTTGAAAGGACCCAAGGCAACTTCTTTGAGGTGCCCCATTAGGCTTCTCTTGTTCTCCCTCTTGTTGATCTTCTCCTGAGGGTATTTAAATATTTCATTGGCAGAAGCTTCCTGACCTTCTCTCTTCTCTTCATTGCCACTGATACAATTCATAGCTGGGCTTGCAGTGTAACCTAGAGAGTATTATTGTTATGCTGTGGTCCTTGAGCCACAGCACAGTGGTAGTGGGCAAATATATATAGGCTGGGAAGAGACTAGTTAACCCACATAATCTCCTGGCTTAAAGGTATGGAGAATGCTCATGTCCAGGTTGTCAAACCATTCCCCAAGAGTGTCCTCTTCAGGAGGTGCCAGATCATAAGCATTTTGTTTCATGGGCTCATGCAGGGGCGCTTGATTCTTTTGGGTAGTTTATGCAGAGTTGTGTGAGGAAAACTGAGTGTGGCTTTTGATCTCCCTTAGAAGACTACCCTCTATTTGTTAGTTTATCTCAACTAGCACTTACTTGTATTCATATTCAGAAACTGGTAAACTGGTAAACTAGAAAATATAAAATGTTTTGTATTCATATTCAGAAACTGGTAAACTAGAAAATATAAAATGTTTCCATTTACTTACAGTTCT